TAATATAATCCTCAGTTTACAGATGGGGGAAATGAGGCAGAAAGAGATGAAGTGACTTGAGGAAGATTACACAATAAATCACTGGACGAGTGGGAAACTTCTTACTCTCAGTCTGGTGCCCTGTTCACAGTACAACACTATTTTCCTATTTATAACACTACAATTCTATGAAGCATTATCTCACTTCAACTCACATTGTATAAAAGATTATATTAAAGCAAACTGAAGTTAACTATGTAAGAGGCATGGCTGAAGTGCATAGCACTCTAAAGAGGGTGCAGTATACATTACTTCAAGTGTAAATCATAATAGATCTTTTGCCATTTAGTAGTTTTCTATAGGATTTTAGTAATATTTTGGTCCACTGTTTGGCTTAACATGTAAACAGGAATGTCTTGTAAAGAAATGGCTAAACTGTGAGCCACTCACATTACATTTTGAATAGACACTTTACCCGTCACTTTTCCCTGAATTAAACTATGTGTATAACAAGGCAAAAAAAAGTATTAATTTTTTTCCATGTGCACCAAACCATTCAGAAATGCTTTTTATATTTTTCTACCTTAAAGTATCTAGCAGGAAGATTTCTAGATAGATACTTAAGCTTCTTAATTACATTTAAATTATATTAGGAAACAATGAATCCACAGTTCAAATTTCCTCCCAAAACAGAGTCAGGCATGATACAAAATCCCAACTCTAAGCATATTGTTGGAAAGTTCAGATTCTGATACTGGCCCCTGTCTGTATAATGGGCTACAATGGATTGAATTCCCCTGAACTCCGGGGAAGTCCTGCTCTGATCTTTGTAGCCTGAACCCATCTCCATTCCAAAGTGGTTCCATCTTTAAACAGCAACCCTGTGCTGTCTTCTGTTGGGTTCCTTGAACAAATTAATTCCAATGAAAAATTGAATACAATGTTCCACAGACAGGACCTGGCAGCACTATACAATGGCCAGAGCACCACAGTGGTAACAAAGAGACAGAGGTCTGGTCCTGGCTGTGCCACTGACTCACAACATAACCTTGGATGAGTCATTTACCCTCACTGTGCCTTACTTTCCCCATCTGTAAATTAGGGCTAATAGTGCTGATAACCTTTGTACAGTGTGTGCAAAGGACTGTGTTATGTGCTATTACTGTTATCATTCTCTGTAGTACTGAGGCCATTTAACTGAAGTGTTTGGCTCGGGTGCTAGGTTTGCTGTTCTTTTAGTCACTTAAAATGCCATAAACTAGCCAGCTGAACATCTTTTCATGTCTTCATTTTCCTTACTGGTTGGTGATTAATCTCTAAAGAAACTGCAGAGTGTATTAAAACACAGAAAGGCAATAAACTTATAATTGGGGTAAAAACAGTACATCTATTTGTTTTGTGAAATGCTCGAAAGAAAAGCTAGAAAGTCAGCAATTACCCCAGGGAAATGCTTCCATAGAGACAGACACAATAGTTATGACACTGCAGCAGTATGTGTGACTTACATTTCTGCTTTGAACATATAATTTGTGGAAATAAAATACAAGGAATTTATTTAAATTTAAAACCTGCTAGGAAAGAACACATTAGTAATTAAGTTTCAAAATAATCTGTTTTCCACCTTAACCACAAGCTCAAGAGAAGTGAACAACGGAGATAAAGCTGAAGTGTATAAGCCAAAATATTTTAAAATAAAAAGGACCAGGTAATGTATCCTTCATTCTACCCCTAACAGAACCTTGAGCTAGAACTGTGTCAGACTTTGCTGGATGTTGTGGCAAGAAGGAAGGGTGCCTTTCACTCCATGGGTTAGAAACATTGTGTATGTCTGTTCCATGGTTCACTTTGAAATAAGAATCACCCAAAGTACTTCCAAACGCTGCAGGCCAGAGAGGAAAGAGTGGAAGCCTCTAGGGTATGCCTTTCACTGCCGATTTAGCCTGGATGATGAGCACCGGGGTTAGCCTAGCCCAGCTGTGAGCAGCCACACAATGAAGCCATACCCAATCACTGTGTCCTCACTGGTGCTGCACTCCCCTATATGAGGCGCTAGAACTTCTGAGGGGCATAGCCTGTAGTTCTGTGTGCTGCTGTAAGCTGAGCTGCTCTGATTCTTTCCCAATGAATTGTGGGCAAACTTGACTGTCCTTCTCAGCACACAGAGAGAATTGTGGGAAGGTATTGGAGGACTGACAGAATTCCAGTGATTTAGTCTACATCCTCACTGCAAAGTGAAAGCAGAACCCAGGCTCTAACTCACACCCCGAGTCAGGGTAGCTAGACCAGGTTTAAAGCATCACTAAACTGAGATGAGAGGTTTTTGTATGTGGACAGGCAGGGAGTTAGGTATAATATCTGGGTAAGACCCCAGGCTAACTGCAGTGAAGACACGCCTGAACAGTGAAGGGAGAGGAAGAGAATGAAATGCTGGGTTGGGAGGTACTGCAGGTCTCAAACTGCGGCAGGTTATGCTGAGTCAGTGATATGGCACTCTTTGGATGCAGCCATCTTCTTCTCCAGGTTCTCAACTTTTATTATAAAACAAAACAAAACAACCCCAAACCTCTATTCCTTGCGGTTATGGAGAACACCATGCATGTGGGAAGCAGGCATAAACTGATGCAGTGATTCCTAACTGCATCTACAGAGCACCTGCTATTCATCCCAGTGACTAAATTAGCTCAGATGCTTAGTGATGATCCTTTAAATGTTAACACTGGTAACTAATTCGCTGCTGTCCCACATGTGACTATGGAAAGGGAGGGTCACGCTCTGCACAGCCTACAGTTAGTAATGTCTTTTTTTGGTGCCATGAAGTGGACAGACTGAGGACATTGGCCAGGATGGGCTGGGTCGAAATGGAGACTCTGGGCTGCTACTTTTACACGCTATTTTGAGTGTACATGAAATTAGCCATAAAAATGCACAGGATAGAGCTCAGTCCTGCTCCTATTGAAGCCAATCTGAATTTTGACAAACTTAACTGTAAGCAGGATTAGTAGGGTTACCATATTTCAGCAAGCAAAAAAAGAGGACGGGAGGAGCCCCGCTCTAGCCCCGCCTCTGACCTGCCCTAGCCCCGCCCCACCCACTTCCCACCCCCCTCAGAACCCCCAACCCTCCACCCCGCTCCTTGTCCCCTGACTGCCCTCTCCTGGTACCCCTGCCCCTATCTGCCCCCCAGGACTTTATCCCCTACCTAAGCCTCCCTGCCTCTTGTCCCCTGACTGCCCCCTCCTGAGACACTCCCCCCTCCTAACTGGTCCCCTAGGACCCTACCCCCTACCTGTACCCTGACTGCTCCAACCCTTATCCACACCCCCACCCCCAGACAGACCCC